TGAAGAAGCTTCACTGAGCTCTGTTTTTTTAAAACCAGAGGAGATCGTTTCTTTATACTCATCAGTCCTAATCTTTGAGGTTACTGAAAGAAAAAAAAATGGCAACTTATAGATTCCAATCTGGGTTTTACCCTCTTTCGCCATGTCCTTCTCTGGGTAATTTCGTCGAACGGATTAAAGACGCATGTCGTTTCCTCGTCTCTGCTGTTCTGGGCACAGTTCTCTCGGCGATCTTGACTTTCTTCTTCGCATTAGGTCCGATTCTCGTTTCTTGATCACTTCAAAACTTGCTCTTATTGTTTATGTATTCCCAAATTTAGTCTCTGTGTAATGCAAAATCGGAAACTTGATGAAGATTATCTATGCTTGAGCTTGTCTTTCTTTTGAATTTGATTTTGATCATTTTAAAGTCTGGTGATTGAGGAGATTCTGCAGCTTTGGGGTTTATGTAAAAGCTAAGAAAGTTGTTTCCTTTTATCTTCTTCTTCAGTGGGCACATTGCTTGGGGCACTTACTGGAGCTTTGATAGGTCAAGAAACCGAAAGTGGGTTTATCCGAGGAGCAGCAGTTGGAGCCATTTCAGGAGCTGTTTTCTCCATCGAAGTCTTTGAATCATCTCTTGTCCTCTGGAAATCTAATGGTTCACGTTTTGGATGTCTACTCTACTTGGTAAATCTGACATCTTTAAGCTTTTTGGAAACTATGCTTCTGCTCTGTTTTCTAATCAATATTCGGGTTTTCAAGCTTCGTATTGATTCTTGTTTTTCTTGTTAATTTTTGGTGTAGATTGATGTCATTGTTAGTCTTATAAGTGGTAGACTTGTAAGGGAACGCATAGGTCCAGCAATGTTAAGCGCGGTTCAAAGTCAGGTACATTGATATGCAGTAGTATTGGTTATGTTTCCGCAATGAGATCTCTCTCGTTTTTCTTGATCTTATTCATCTCTCTTCTCATCCATCAGATGGGAGCAGTGGATACAACTTTCGATGAGCTCTCGAGTATCTTTGATACTGGTGGCTCAAAAGGATTAACAGGAGATTTGGTTGATAAAATACCCAAAATCAAAATCAAAAACAACATAGATGCTTCTGGCAACAAAGACTCATGTTCTGTTTGTCTTCAGGTTTGTTGCTCATCGCAGCTCTTAAGAATCAAATCCGCGATTCGGAACACGAAAAATGGTTTAAAATTTCTTGTTTTTGTGTACATTTTTGCAGGATTTTCAGCTTGGTGAAACTGTAAGAAGCTTACCACATTGTCATCACATGTTTCACTTGCCTTGTATAGACAATTGGCTCTTCAGGCATGGTTCTTGTCCAATGTGTAGACGTGATCTGTAACAGTAATCTCTTTGTCTTACCATTTGCATAGTCTCTGTCTCACTCAATCTGTGAGCC